CCGCTTCTGAATTTTTGCGGGGCTTCAACAGCTTGCCGGTGCGCCCAAGCGCGCGCGCGAGGAAGCAGGCTGGCCCAAACAAAGAAGCCCGCCCATCAGGCGGACAGGCCCGGGCGACCTCTTTTTCTAATTGGCTTCTGAAATTTGGCTAATTTAATAACCAAAAGAAGGCGCAGACGCAGAAAAAAGCACCCCGGCAAAACACCCTCACCCGGGGGTGGTGCCTCTTCGAAGAACCAAACCCCCCGACCATTGTTGTTCCGCTGAAGGGCGTCATGGAATCAACATGGCTCAAAATCAGGCAAAAAAAATAACCCGGGACGGGAAGACGCCACATTCACCCTGCCCGACCCAAAACCCGGCCGGGACACGAAGAAAGACCCACCAAGGGAATTCATCGCGCCAATGCAAGCCGATTCGCGCGGCGCCCAACCAATCAAAGGCCCGGCCGAAGGGCATTCAAATTCGAAGAGAGGGCTTGGGCGGGCAAACATCGGCCGGGCCAGAATGAAAGGACACAAATTAGAATCGTCTTCGAACTTGCGTCCGGCGCGCGCCGGTTTCGTGGCTAATTTGCGTCCGGGAACACCCCCCGACCCACCGAAAAGCAGGTGGCTAATCTGAAATCTAATTTTTTTGCAACCCTTTCTAATATGCTCTTTAATTTGCATCTAATTTGCAGAGCCTCCCCAAATTCCCGGCCGAAAAATCGTTCCCGATTTCCCTGTGCAAAATCGACGCAATTTTGCACAGGGAAATCGGTAACGATTTTTCGGCCGCTGCAAATTAGCCTGCCAATTAGCGCCAATTAGCTGCTACATTAGCTGCAAACTAGGTACCAATTAGAAGCGCCAAAATTCAGAGTTTTGGCGCTTCTAATTCAGCCCATTTTCAAATTAGAATTGCAGATTAGAATTTTCCGGGAGGTGTTCCCGGAGCTTTTGGCGGGCATGTCAAACAGGGTCGCCGCCCTGTTTGAAATGCCCACGCCCGAAACCGCCCCAAGACGAAGAGGAAGAAAAACGCGTGCCCGAACACGAAGTCCCCGGCCGGAGAGAAGCCGCCGGCCTGCCACACCCGACCCAAAACAAACAAAGACAGGCGCCAAGCCGGGATGGCCACTGACCGAATGGCAAGCCAGAACACACCCAAGAAAGCGGCGAGACATGCCATCCAGGCCAAAGGGGGACGAACTGCCCGGGCCAATGCCACAAAGCGAAAGAGGCGCCCACCGCGAAATCGGCAAGGCCGCGAAGTACTAGGCTCCCCGCGAAACAGTGACGCGCTGAATGCTCCCAATGCGTCGCGCGCCGAGATTCGGCACACAGCCAACCCGACACAAAGGGGCCGCGCGCGCTTTCAAATTAGCCGGGTTTTAGTTAATAATTAGAACCGGAAGGCGCCCGGGCCTGTCCGCCTGACGCCCACCGGACGGGCTGGCCGCCTCGCCACGCTACGCGGCGGGCGTGTTTTGGTGGGGCCACCAAGGAAGAGCCGCAACCAAGAACCCGAGGCGGTTCTGAAATTTTTTCGACTGAGCACTCTTCAGAAACAAAGTTGGCGGCGCCCCAACGTACTAACACGCGCGAGCAGGCGAACTCATAAGCACCCGCGCACGCGCCCGCCTGGCGGGCCGGCCGCTTCCTTCTCTCTTGGTTGCGCCACAGGGGGCCACAACCAAGAACCCGAGCCGCTTCTGAATTTTTGCGGGGCTTCAACAGCTTGCCGGTGCGCCCAAGCGCGCGCGCGAGGAAGCAGGCTGGCCCAAACAAAGAAGCCCGCCCACCGGACGGGCTGGCCGCCTCGCCACGCTACGCGGCGGGCGTGTTTTGGTGGGGCCACCAAGGAAGAGCCGCAACCAAGAACCCGAGGCGGTTCTGAAATTTTTTCGACTGAGCACTCTTCAGAAACAAAGTTGGCGGCGCCCCAACGTACTAACACGCGCGAGCAGGCGAACTCATAAGCACCCGCGCACGCGCCCGCCTGGCGGGCCGGCCGCTTCCTTCTCTCTTGGTTGCGCCACAGGGGGCCACAACCAAGAACCCGAGCCGCTTCTGAATTTTTGCGGGGCTTCAACAGCTTGCCGGTGCGCCCAAGCGCGCGCGCGAGGAAGCAGGCTGGCCCAAACAAAGAAGCCCGCCCACCGGACGGGCTGGCCGCCTCGCCACGCTACGCGGCGGGCGTGTTTTGGTGGGGCCACCAAGGAAGAGCCGCAACCAAGAACCCGAGGCGGTTCTGAAATTTTTTCGACTGAGCACTCTTCAGAAACAAAGTTGGCGGCGCCCCAACGTACTAACACGCGCGAGCAGGCGAACTCATAAGCACCCGCGCACGCGCCCGCCTGGCGGGCCGGCCGCTTCCTTCTCTCTTGGTTGCGCCACAGGGGGCCACAACCAAGAACCCGAGCCGCTTCTGAATTTTTGCGGGGCTTCAACAGCTTGCCGGTGCGCCCAAGCGCGCGCGCGAGGAAGCAGGCTGGCCCAAACAAAGAAGCCCGCCCACCGGACGGGCTGGCCGCCTCGCCACGCTACGCGGCGGGCGTGTTTTGGTGGGGCCACCAAGGAAGAGCCGCAACCAAGAACCCGAGGCGGTTCTGAAATTTTTTCGACTGAGCACTCTTCAGAAACAAAGTTGGCGGCGCCCCAACGTACTAACACGCGCGAGCAGGCGAACTCATAAGCACCCGCGCACGCGCCCGCCTGGCGGGCCGGCCGCTTCCTTCTCTCTTGGTTGCGCCACAGGGGGCCACAACCAAGAACCCGAGCCGCTTCTGAATTTTTGCGGGGCTTCAACAGCTTGCCGGTGCGCCCAAGCGCGCGCGCGAGGAAGCAGGCTGGCCCAAACAAAGAAGCCCGCCCACCGGACGGGCTGGCCGCCTCGCCACGCTACGCGGCGGGCGTGTTTTGGTGGGGCCACCAAGGAAGAGCCGCAACCAAGAACCCGAGGCGGTTCTGAAATTTTTTCGACTGAGCACTCTTCAGAAACAAAGTTGGCGGCGCCCCAACGTACTAACACGCGCGAGCAGGCGAACTCATAAGCACCCGCGCACGCGCCCGCCTGGCGGGCCGGCCGCTTCCTTCTCTCTTGGTTGCGCCACAGGGGGCCACAACCAAGAACCCGAGCCGCTTCTGAATTTTTGCGGGGCTTCAACAGCTTGCCGGTGCGCCCAAGCGCGCGCGCGAGGAAGCAGGCTGGCCCAAACAAAGAAGCCCGCCCACCGGACGGGCTGGCCGCCTCGCCACGCTACGCGGCGGGCGTGTTTTGGTGGGGCCACCAAGGAAGAGCCGCAACCAAGAACCCGAGGCGGTTCTGAAATTTTTTCGACTGAGCACTCTTCAGAAACAAAGTTGGCGGCGCCCCAACGTACTAACACACGCGAGCAGGCGAACTCATAAGCACACGGGCGCGCGCGAGGAAGCAGGCCGACCCAAGCAAAGAAGCCTGCCCACCGGACGGGCTGGCCGCCTCGCCACGCTACGCGGCGGGCGTGTTTTGGTGGAGCCGCCAAGGAAGGGCCGCAACCAAGAGCCCGGGGCGGTTCTGAAATTTTTTCGCGGGAGCACTCTTCGGAAACAAACCTGGCGGCGCCCCAACATACTAACACGCGCGAGCAGGCGAACTCATAAGCACCCGCGCGCGCGCGCTCGCCTGGCGGGCCGGCCGCTTGCTTCTCTCTTGGTTGCGCCACAGCGGGCCGCAACCAAGAACCCGCGCCGCGTCTGAATTTTTGCGGCGCTTCAACAGCTTGCCGGTGCGCCCAAGCGCGCGCGCGAGGAAGCAGGCTGACCCAAGCAGAGAAGCCTGCCGGCCCACCGGACGGGCTGGCCGCCTCGCCACGGACGCTACGCGGCGGGCGTGTTTTGGTGGAGCCGCCAAGGAAGAGCCGCAACCAAGAACCCGAGGCGGTTCTGAAATTTTTTCGCGGGAGCATTCTTCGGCGACAAACTTGGCGGCGCCCCAACGTACTAACACGCGCGATCGGGCGCGCCTTGAGGCTACTAGAAGTCGCCATCTAGTAAGATCACGTGCCATGATCACAGAAAAAGAGCCGTTCTTTGTGGATCTCGACTCAGATGAACCTGCTCCACAATCAAGTCATAGTCATCAAAGGAACTATCAGGCTTCACGGGGAAAAAGATCAGGCGACTGCAGTGGCGCACACATCGGTACGGAAACAAGGAAAGAACAAAACACTGAAACAACTCTTGCAGGAATCGACACGAAAAAAAAGTGGCGAGAACAGGAGCCAATGCTCAGGAACAAGAAACACATACAGATGAACAACCAATCGCGTCTACTAAAAAGCGGTTTCCTGGCGAAACCTCGGGCGTCCTGGCGTGTGCTGGTTTTATTTTTGCTTGATTCTTGGTCGAGCTTAATAAATATTACAAAGATTTCTTGAATGAAGTTGTTTGGGTGAAACTGTTTTTTCGTGCTTTGTCATAGAGCTTGTTGACAGAATACAACTCCTTGCGAAATTTTATCGAAACACTTTCGCAAGCTTTTTCTTGACTGGTTTTCGTATTAGCGATGTTTATCTTGTATTTCCGAAAATCAGAAGTCTCTGGAACAACTGCGTGCTCCACGAATCCTTCCGAATTTTTTGTGCTAGAAGAATATAGGTAAACAAAAGAATATGCTCAGAAAATTGCTGTAATCTATATCAATCGAATCGAATCTACTGCGTCAGTAGTGAGGACATCTTCCTTGGTGCGAATATTATCAGAATCAAATCAAATAGAGCTGCCGCCCCGCGACGGTCGCCAATTCATCTTGGTGCCTCGCATACAGCATCAATGAGGGGCATAGTAATTATTGGTGCTAGATTAAGTAAAAGTTTGAGTTTACAACTACTGCTGACAT